ATGCAAAGACGTCTTAAGCACTCCAGCGTGCCTCAAGGCACTGCGGGTGGTGCAATGGCAGACCCGCGATGTATTCCGATGTTGTTACGGAGCATCTCGTGGGACCGATTTGATAAATAATCCAAGGTTTCAGCATGGCCGCGGCGGAGACAGGGGTTCGTGCGAAGCGCACTCGTATCTAAGACATGTCAACAGATGAAGGCACCACAGTCTGGATCATCAATGTACGATTGCATTCCAGGCACACCTATCAGAAGGTGATTGTGTGACGTATCACTCGACAAGCAAATTGTCAAAGGCTGGCTTCGCGTCGAAATGCCATGCGGCCAAGAACTTTGGCTGGTGGGGCGGCTCGGGGGGCTCGTCTGGCACGTGGGGCCTCTCTAAGCGCAGCAGCTCCTGCGCGTCAGGATTCACACTGGCCATCAAACGGTGCCGCGCAGCTAAGCGAGTAGCATGGCTGTAGACCGCATTGGCCACGTGAGCAGCCTTCGAGTGGTGGTTAGGGCCGTCCTCCAAGAACGCTGCCAAGAACCTCAGGGGCCGCCCTTGGGCAGGCTGAGCCCCGCCCACGGCACTTCGCTCTTGAGAGCACTTGACATGCCCGCACTGGCACGTCGCCACGAAACGAGCCTTCGGATGCAAGTGCAGAGTGATGACACCTTTGGGAAAGTGGGCCGTGATGTCAGCTGCACCAGGTTGCTTGTGAGCAGGTATGCCTCCATCGTCTGGCGGGCCAACATCGCCAACGTGGGGCTCCACCTCGATGTCATCATCTGACGTCACCGGGGTCGGGGGGCCCTCGATGGCACTGAGGTGGTCGACGACACTCTCATCCCCAGACTCTCCGCCGTCGCCGTCAAGCCTGACTGCGTCTGCCATTAGATCATCGACGTCGTCATGGGTGCGCACCTCGTCGCCGATGTGTTCGTCGTCCTGGACGTCCTCGCCTGCATCATGACCACCTCCACCGTCGTCGTCGTCGCCATCGCCGCCTGGTCGCCCTCCCTCGCGGTCTCTGCGAGCCCGTCGATGGAGGAAATTGGCAAGCTTGCCAATGTCATCCTCACCGCGCCAGAAGGACACAACATCACCGTCGAGACGCCTGGCCACTTGCACTGCTGGAACAAAAGCGGCCTTCAGCGCAGCAGACTGCTGGAGCTGATAGAACTGGATAGACCATTGAACATCAGTACCATACATGTCCAGAAGCTCCTTGAAGTAAACATGGCGCCTCAACCACTTCGGCTCCATAGTGATCGTGGCCCCCACGTCGCTAGCGCTCCCAGGCGTGGATGCAGGCATGACCACCGCCTTCCACGGTTTAAGGCATTGGAAGGCGATGCAGCTCCATTCCTCAACGAGAACAACTTGCCCTGGAGCATCAGCGGCGTCGCCGCCGTGAGCATCTGGAAGCTCATGCGTGCCGACTGAGACCTGGCAGAAGTTGGCCCCTTTGAGAAGGTTGCGCTCGGGACCGCTGGGGAACTGCATCCTCACCGCTCCCTCCCGGTGCTTGACAAACGTGTCGACCAATCCGCCGCTGTCGCCGCGCATGCAGAGGCCAGCCTGGAAGCATCGCGCCTGCGGTGGTGGTAGACGCGGCAAGGCTTCGCAATCAGCTCGGCGAAGCAGCTGGTTTCTGCCTTGATCATGCGCCTAATCTTGTGGGGTGCTTTTAGGGGCGCCACCCGTCGGGCCTAGTGAAACGTATGCGAACTCACGTATTCCACTATCGTCAAAGACGCCGTTGCTGGCGTGACACCAAATGCAGAATCCTTGAACCCGTCCACTTCAATACGCTCAGCAATGTCACGTTTTGCTGTATCCGAAAATTTGGACTTGTAATTCAAGCGTTGTTGTATGTTCTCAGCGTTTGAAGCAACAATCGCAATCCGACGTTGACGAGTCACGTCGGAAATCACTGATGAAGCATCTGTCGAAGACGAACCAGGCATGGCAATGGCGGGCTCCAAGGCCACCGACGCCGAAGACGACGATTCGGAAGCACTCGCATTATCGAAATAGGTCTGTTCAACAGCACGGCGCTCGCGATCAAGGAGCGCCTGGTTAGCATCCCTTCGCGCCCTCTTGGCAAAACGGTCCTTTGGGACTCCGAAGGGATATTGCTGGCCGTGCCGTCTCGATACTGTCCCCTCGGCGCCCCTCTCCTGGTAGAGTCGGCGCTCCGCCTTACTGAGCTCTTCGCGGTGCTCGCGGTTGAGCTCTCGAAGCCCAACGCCTCGCCGACCAGCTCTGATCTGCTCACTGATGTAAGCGCGCTGGCCACCGCCTCCCCCAGCGATTCTCATATGGGGGGACCTGCACCTCGCTGCCCGAGGCGTGCCATCGTTTCATATTCCTGTGAATTCTTACTGCTGGCCGTCTGGAAATTCAAAGGGTGTGTCTGGCAGGATCCGACCGCGGCTGTTCGTCGAACGCACGCGTGGATATGCTCGCGCCTGCTGTTCTCGCTCTCGGCTTCGGCTGCGTGGGCTACGACGTCCGCCAGAGCGTCGTCGCTGCCCATGCCGCCCTTGTCCGAGTAATGGTCGATCAGGCCGCGATTCCAGGAGTCGTGCATGCACGGTGGCGTCGCCTCCAAACCAGCTGTCATGTGCGAGGCGCCCCCCGTCTCCACGCTCAGCTGGGCCAAGGCATGCAGATTCCATGGGAAACCCTCGAGCATGCTGATGATCTCGTCGGTCACGACCGCACCAGCAATGGCAATGACACGGAAGGCGAGCAAACTAGAGGTCCAGGCTCGCCCGCCACCGACGGGAAGCGCAGCCCATTTGTGATCAGATTGCAAAAGGTCGCTCATGTCTTGCATGAATTGCTCTTCCAAGGAAAGCGCGAGGTTCGCCTCGATGTGCGGCGGCAAGCCTGCGCCGGATCCAACGCCGCTGCATGCCAGGGCCGCATTGCGAGCATGAGCCCGCCCCAGAGCACGAGCAGAACCCAGGCCGAGACAACTGCACATGAAGTGCTGCTGCGGTTTCACGAGGATCGTCAACGACAGCATCTTGGCGGCGAACGTGCCGTCCCTGCACGCGGCCAAGCCTCTCTTCACATGCGTTGCCATGCTTGTGGTATCTTTGGCACCTGCATCGGCGAAGCGCCCAGCGCCGTCTGCTTCATGCCCGTGGGCATGCGCGTCTGCAAGAGCCAACAAACCACCGCCAACGTCTGCAGGCACGTTGGTCTTGAGGTGGCGCGTTGCGTGCATGGGGGAAGCCTCCTGCAACAGATCGTGGGTGTTCGCCAGCAGCCCGATGACTCGTGGGCTCTCTGCTGCCCTCGTCCAGCGGGGCCGAGGAAATGGACATACACCTAAGTTGGTAATGGCGTCGACATGCCACTTCAATGCCCAGTGCCGACGTTCTGCAGGGTTCTCGTCGGCATTGGTCGTGTACATCTCGAAGGTGCCCGTTCTGTCGTAGCCGCCGTTCGCGACCATGGTAACAACCGAGCGTGCCTTGAGGCACCGCTGCGCCGCCACCAAACGACGACCCCACCGACTGGCTAACATCAGATGCTCGTGGGCGCCCTGCAGCAGATGGATCTTGCACCTCCAGTGTGAGACCTCTTCAACTCGATCCAGCATCCGTTCGGACTTGGCGATGGCCGCGTCACCGTCCGACATCGAAGTGCGATCGCACCTCTGGAAGAAATCACCGGGCTCATCATGAATACAAGCGGTCTGCATCCTACCTAAGTGCACGTAGATTTCTGCCGTCTTCCGATCGACGCTCGTAAGCGTGGTGGGGAGTTCCGCCATCATGTGAAGCTACTGTGGACCAGCGTCGCCATCTCGTGGAGGCAATCTGAACACAGCGCCAAGCTTCAACTCGTAAGCGACCACCTGGCCGTGGGGCTCTTGCTCTGGTTTACCAAGCTCTGTCATGATGCAATTCGCCTCGCCGCTTGCATTCTCTGCGTCGATGATGTCGTCTGTGATCTGTTCGAAGCCACGGGCCTTCTGGTATAGCGGCGTCTCGTCCATGGAAGCGTGCGCCGAATGCCGTAGCGCTGCCCCGCCAGTGGCAGCAACGCATTGAGCAATTGTCTTGCATGCGTGTAGAGCCCGACGGCGCTCGATATGAAAGGCGCAGGCTGAATAGAACATGTAACGATCCATCGCAACTGAATAGTCCTGCCCCGCCGAGTCTGCAATCGAGCTGAACGGCGTCGCGTCGCGCGCCCCCGCGCAGGCGTCCACGCAGGCGTCCACGCGCAGGCGTCCCGCATGCAGGGGGCAGGAACTCAATCGCCGGCATCCGTCGTCAGAAGGGCCCCGAGGCCATCAATGAGCGTGGCGATGTTGTGCCAAGCGCAATCGCTGGAGCAGATTGTCGCCCAACGTCTCGGCACAGCCAGCCACATCGAGGGCAGCGACGGCGACGACCCGAGCTTGCAGCAACTATTGGGTGATGTCATAGAGGCCGATCCTGTGGAGCCACCTCCTCGCGCTGACACAATCCCCCTCCACGCGCGCCGCCATGTCATTCATAGCCAATGGGATCTCTGCGCCACCACCGATGAAAGACCAACTCGCAGGGGGTCGGTGGACAGGGGGCCGCGGCGCGAGGGACGATTGCCGGGGCGGGCTCAGCGTCAGCGCGAGGAGGCGGCTCCACGGGATCGGCCTCTACAGTGCCGTTTTTAATACATGCTCCGCGTGCGGACCATGTATAAAAGATGCAGGGATGCAGTACTAAAAACAACGATGACTTCATGCATACATTTATCAAAACTTATTAATGTACTAAAATTCTTTGTTTGTTGATTAGAAAGTGTATTCAACATAGCAATAATAATGTAACACTGTTACTTGTTTTAAAAACAATGTAATAATGTAATACTGCAATAATAGTTTATAGTAGTAATAACAGTAATAATGAAATAACGTAATCTAATATATTTAGAACATGTTATTTGTTATACAAAGCATACTACTATGCATTACTAAGGTATTTGAAAACCCTGTGTATTAAAAACTGCCCTGTAGTTGCTGCAAGCTCGGGTCGACGCCGTCGCTGCCCTCGATGTGGCTGGCTGTGCCGAGACGTTGGGCGACAATCTGCTCCAGCGGCGCATCGCCAGCGCCGCTTGCACGCACATGTACTGGAGGTACAGTTGGCGGGTCTGGCACGAGATGCCGAAGGGCACACGGGATAAGCAGCAACACGGTACCACAAGCTACGAAACGATGGCGGTGAGAGTGGCACTGGCCCTCGCCCTGGAACGTAAGCGGGATGGGGTCCGAAACCTTTGTTTTGGCCAGAAGCCTCGGCGCTTGAAGGACCCCCCCAAGCAAATGCTTGCATCGAATGCCGAAGCCTCGGCCCTGTGACCGAAGACAGCGCCGAACACCGTGCCAGGGACATCGGAGGATGCCGGGTCGAGCGGCGCACGCACGGAGGGGGTCGAGAACAACGGGGCCGACCCCGCCCGATCGATGATGCTGTGGCGTTGCCGGCCCTGCCCAGTCAAGGAGCAGAAGAAGGAGGGGGCGGAGGAGAGGGTGGGGCGAGGAGAGGGAGGAGAGGGAGGAGGAGGAAAGGGAAGAGGAGGAGGAGGGGGAGAAAGAGGATGAGGAGGAGGAGGAGGAGAAAGAGGACGAGGAGGAGGAGGAGGAGGAGAACGGGGCGAGGAGGAAGAAGACGGAAGGGGATGAGAAGGAGGATGGACATGGATGCTGGGAAGGGGGGGGGAGGAGGACGACGACGGGGGGGAGGAAGGGAGGGAAGGAGGGAAGGATCGATGATGGAAGGGAAGGGAGGAAGGGACGGAGGGAAGGGGAGGGAAGAACAGGGAATGGGAAGAGAGGGGAGGGGAGGAGGGTGGAGTCAGGGCAGGGGAGGGGAGAGGAGGAAGGACGACAGAGCGAGTCGCAGGGCTTGTTCATTCCCACCCGCCCTCTCACAACATAAGAGACAATGCTGGCACACTTGGGCCCCGCCCTCAACGGAGGCGGGCGCGTGAGCAAATGTATCTCGACCCCGCGCATGTAACGCGACAGGAAGCACGTGTGAACCAAGCAAAACATGAGACCGCGTCCGACGACAAACCATGTAGAACGAAGCTGCGCTTCTGATGGTCAACGCCCGACGCTTACAGTAGCACCTGGCCCCGAAAGACCACGCGGCTGCCCGTTGCGATGCGAAACGTGCCCTTCACGAGCAACCCCGCACACCTCATTCTATTAACATCACGGCCGACACAAGGCAGAAACGGTTCGTGCTCAATTGTGAAATAAGCAGCGTAAGGAGCTTCGATTAATTGGAATGCGAGTGGTATGTATGAGAAACAGCGTAGCATCCCCATTGATTCCACAATGTTTCTCCGCCTCCCAACCTTATCCCAAAAACTATTATCCGAACGGGAGGCCCTCGCAGGGCCAACAAACCGAATTCCGACACCCTATTTAAACCCTATTTGAAATCGATTTTCGTTTTTTCGTCAAAAGCCATTTTCAACCCGAAATAACATCGATTTGGGCGTTTCAGCCAAAATCAGGAGCTCTCCAGCCCTCACCGGTTACAAGATACTGTAGTTTCGCCGCCGGCCCAGCTGGATACCCATCCAGCGCTGTCCGGGTACTCTGCCAGGTGAGTACCCCGCCATTTACCCACCCTTACCCGTCCATGCCAGGTCGGAATCGAACCACTTGGGTGCCCCATCACGGTTCCTTCGACTTACTCTGCAGCCGCCAGGCGGGTACCCCATTGGCTGGGTACCCGTCCGCTGGCTCACCTCAACCCATCCAGCAACCGCCGGAGTAGTACCCCGCCGTGAGGGTGCCTGTCGGTGGGCCCGCTCCCCTTGCCAAGCATCCGCGGAACGGGTATCCCGCCGGCTGGGCACCTGACCCGGAAGCAGCCACCAGCGGCTGGATGGGTATCCCGTCGTGTGGATGCCCCTTCGCGGGCCTCTCATTTGCACCCGTCCAGCAGCCGCGGCATGGGTACCCCGCTGGATGGGTACACGTCGGTGGGTCCCCCCTTCCGTGTTCTGGCCATCTAGCAGCCGCCGCATCGGAATCCCGCTTGCTGGGGCCCCTCTGTAGCCACCCCCATACGCTTCCAGAAGCTGCCGGATGGGTATCCCGCCGGCTGGGCACCCATCCATGGGGCCCCCCCCAGCTGGATCCAGCAACTGCCGGATGTGCATCCCGCCCGCTGGGTACCCTCCATCTACCAATCTAGCAGCCCCCTGGTATCCTGGGTGGGCGCCGGGTGGGATTTCCTCTGTGTGCCAGCAACCGCTGGATCGGTACCCCGCCGGCTGGGTAATTGCACGATGGCCCCCCCGCCCATCCGGCAGGCGCTGGATGTGACCCTTGCCGGCCAGCCCGCCGACGCATCCAGCAGCCGCCGCATGGGTATCCCTTCGGCTGGGTACTTCTGGAGGGGGGGGGAGGAAGAGGAGGAGGAGGAGGAGGAGAAGGAGGAGGAGGGGGAGGAGGAGGGGGAGGAGGATAGCGGAGGAGGAGGAGGAGGAGGAGGAGGAGGAGGAGGAGGAGGAGGAGGAGGAGACGGGGCACGGAGTCGCATCATTCTCTCTCGCTTTCTTCGTCTCTCCACTCCTCTCTCTCTCTCTCGTGCAGTGCCTTTTCCTGTATGTGTATGTATGTGTATGTTGTAGTTCATCGTTCCATTTTATGTCATGTTGGATTGCATTAAACCATATTATACGATAGCAGACTCCATTTTTATGTGGTTCGTTATTATATCATGTTTCGTTATCGTATATGGTATGACGTATTATTGAAAGCATGGCATTGTTATCAGATATCATGTATTCTGTCATTTTGTACGATCTATTTTATTGGAGAGGCCTGACGGCCGGTGCCGCCGACCCTGATCGAAAGGGCTAGGAGTGGGGGGAGGAAACGGAGGATGAGGAGGAGGAGGAGAAGGAGGAGGAGGAGAAGGAGGAGCAGGAGGAGGAGGAGGAGGGAGGAGGAGGAGGAGGAAGAGGAGGAGGAGGAGGAGGAGGAGGAGGAGGAGGAGGAGTGCATCCATTTGTGTGCCCGCTCGAAGAAAGTGCGCCCCGGGAGTGTGATATTCTGACTTGGGACGTGCTCCCGGAAGAGGAAGAAGTGCATCTCGGGCGTGCCCGCTCGAGGAACATGCGCCCTAGGGGGGTGGTATTTTGACTCGGGGCCCGCTCCCGGGACGCCTCTGCGGGAGGAGGAGGAGGAGGACGAGGAGGAGGAGGAGGAGAAGGAGGAGAGGAGCACGACCTATTTTATTTTAGCATATATCCTATTATATGATGTTTTATTGGTATTCGGCTAGTACGTGTATACTAAACATGTGTCGTGCCACTACTTACTCGTATACCATATGGTAACATAGTATGTACTCGTACAGCACACTGCATCATGTTGTGTTAACTACTTTCCCCTTTTGACATGGATGTCAATTATTATGTGACATTGCGTTCTGATTTATCATGTCGTACCGTATCGCATCACATAATCATATAACTCACCATATCCTATTATATGGCTTCGTATCCCGCACACATCTTACCGACTGACGGTGCATTTTATCTTACTATGATATATGTGTTCGTTTAGTATATGTCACAATGCGTTCTATGAGTTCTCAACCTATGCCATTTATTGAATTACATTATATTGGGTCACGTGTAGTAGATTTTGTTACAGGGTATTGTATTATCAGTAAAATGGATTCGCCCCTCTGCCGCCGGCCCCCTCTCTGTCATAAGGAGATATGACAGAGTCGTTTCGGCGCGTCTCGGCGTCTCGGCGCTGCCTTGGCGCACCTGGGAACAGCATGCGGGGGCGGATAGGAGTCATCAACGCATATTGAAACGTTGGCGCTATCCTAGTGGCCTTCGGCACATCTCGCCACCGTGCCTGGGTCGTGAGTGTGAGGCCTTTTGTATATGTGTTGGGGTGTCGTGGGGAGCCTTTTCGGGAACCTCTTGGAGGCGGTTTGGGCGCCTCTTTGGGGCCTCTTGGGGCCTCGTGGGGTATATTTTGGGTTCCTTGGAGGCCTCTTGGGCGCGTCAAGGGCGCCTTTCGGGGCCTCTTGTAGGAGATCGTGGCCTTGGGGTGCGAATGTGGTGTGATTTGCAAAGGGTCGTGGCTTGGGGGGCGTAATTCATGCGGGATCGTGGCCTCTGGATCGTGGCTTCGGGGGGCACCGCGACGCCCTTTAGACGAAAACCAGTCCGAGGCGGGAATTTTCCAATAACCACCGCCTGGGGTGTCGATCTTCGCGTGCCTCCATAGGCGGTGGATATGGATATTTTCGGGCCCCTTGGGGCCAAACTATATCCATATCCGCCGCCAGCCGGGGCACCAGGACGTTGGTTTCCAGGCAGTGAACATGGATACATTCCCGCATCGGAGCCAGGAGCCGACCCTCATCCCCATGTTCATCCTCTTCGAGACCCCCACCAAATTACCCCCCCAGTTGGGGATGCACCCCTCGAAGCCCGAAGGTAACGGCCTTTATCCCCATCGAGGGGGGTAAATCGGCCAGTGGGGCCCAGCCCACGCTGGTGGGGTTGGGGATCGGTTAAACGATGCTCAGACGGGGGCACCGCGGCGCCCTCTGGACGAAATCCAGGAGCCGCAGGTCAATGATTCTCAGAAGGAAAAGAAATACACAGACACAATTAATCCTCGATTCCCCACAAAATATGGGAAAATATGGGAAGTGGGGGGGAAGACTGAAACCTAGAAAATATGGGGAAATATGGGGAATCTTTTTATTTGTGTGTATTTATTTGTGTGTCCTGGGGCGCCTTCAGATTCAACAGGTACGTGAGAGCCCCGCAGTGCACGCGCCTGTTGGGAGGTCCGCGCGGCTGTTTCGGCTCGGCGGGGCTCCCCCCGGCGGCGCTTCTGGCGCCGCGCTCCGCGCGCCGCCGAAAAAAGGGGAGCGCAGCGCCGAGCCAGGAAATCCGCGCGGTGCTCCGAAGGGCTCTGGTGATGCCGGTTCTTGCTTTTCGATTCCTTCCGCTCGCTACGCATCACTCGTCCGCCTCCTCATTGCGCTGCGAGCCGCGTCAGGGGCCAAGGCCTCGCCTAACGTTTGGCCCCGCTGCACCGGAGCTTCTGTTTTGTACGCCTCTCCGCGGGATCAGTCGGAGTGCTAGATGGGTCGGGGGGACAAGGTGCAGGATGCGGGAGGAGTAACAGAGAGAGAGAGAGAGAGAGAGAGCAACAAACATACAAGACGCAGGGAGGAGGGATGATGATAATGGCGTGGGCGAGGGGGACGGGGGATGTGGGTGGGGCCCGGGAAGACGAGCGGGAGGAGGTGGAGGAACGGAAGGTGGGAGGGACGAAGGAAGGAAAATAGAGAGGAGGATGAGGCGGAGACTCACGACAGAACGGCCGAGGACGAGAGAGGGGGCGGAGGCGGAGAGGAGCAAGAGAGCTGGAGTGGTGGTCGGGGTGGAGGTTCTGCAGCAACCACAGTGGTCCTGGCTGCTTCGCCCCCAAGATCTCGCGACCGCAGTTTATGCCCCATGTCTTTTCTAGAGGACGGGCATCTTTTTTGTTGGCTTCGGGCCAGCTGCCTTTGCGGTTGTGGGCCACTGCACCTCTACATTTCCATGTTGGCCGACCTTGCGCCTTTCCCCAGCCTCCTTCCCGCTCCCCGCTCCGGGAGCTTCCCTCCCTCTGGTGCGGCGAGGCGTGACGCGTGTTCTTTATTCGAGGGAAGCAACACGACTACCATTGACCAAAATGTCGCGGAATCGTGTCGACGCCCAGCTTGGTCCTGTTCCTTGTCCGCCGTCGCCGATTTGCGAGGAGGATCCACGAATTGACGCTGACCAAGACGAACGGTGATCAAGATCGGCACCGACGTTTCCGCGTTTAGTCTTGGTCGTGGTCTCCGTTTCTTCCCTTCCAATTCCCCTTGGGATGGCTCGCCCTCGCCTGCCACTTCCCCGGCACATGCCTGCCATGTTTGGCCGCTTTGGAAGGTCAAGGTTCCCTCTAGTGTCGGGAGCCCGTTGCCGTTTCAAGCAGCGGCGCCACGCGCCCGCGGCACGCTTGGGTGACTCGTTGATTGAGTCCCCCAAAACTTATTTGACAAGGCCCTGGGGGCTGGGCTGACCCGAGAACACGGGGCCAGACAGGTGGGTCAGGAGCAGGACGAGCAGACGGACACTCCAGAAGCACGGAGATGTCCTCCTCCTCTTCCTCATCCTCCTCCCGGCTCCTCCCTCCGTCCTTCCTTCCTCAATACTTCTCCACCACCACCCTCCTCCCCACCCTTTTCCTCCTGCTCTCTTTCTCTTCCGACGCGAGGGTACTGACGTGGTTGAGATCGTCGACGCTGAAGGCTTGGACTTGGACTCGCTTGATCTCGATGAGACCGGAAGTCAGAACTGGCTCGCCTTCAAGGCGAACAGTGGCCAAGGAGGTCCAGTCGACGGTGCTTGCGGCGATCCAGACAAGTGCCGACAATATCCAGAAGTTGCGTGCGGAGGCAGCGAAGCTCCGCCAGCGCTTGGCGTCCAAGCGCCGCAGGCGTGACAAGGACGAGGCAGCGGAAATATGCTCAGCGGCATCGGGACCGCGGGCAGGCCAGACGACTCCAAGCTCAGCGGCAACAGCGTCGGCGGCGTCAGGCGCACAGCCAGCGACCCCAGGGACTCGCGGTACTCCCATTGTCTTGGATTGTCTTGACATGCCAGTGGGCGGGCCCGGGGACCAGAAAGGCACGGTTGCAGTCTTGGCAGCGGCCGACGCAGCGGTCATCTTCGGCTCAGCCTCCTGTTCTCAGCGTGGGCAGTGCTTTGCCTGCTGCGGCTGCTCTCCCGTGGCCTCCACCCGGCGGGCAATTGTGGTGCCGCCGACGGATCCCGGGGGGCGAGCCTGGCCTAGCCAGGCCCTGTGCTAGAGACATTTGAGGTTCAAGGGTTGGTTCCCGTCAGTGGAATGGCCGAGAGCGGGCGCGGCGCCCAGAGGCCAGGCCCTGGCCTCTGGGCGCCGCGCCCGCTCTCGGCCGCCGCGGCCGGGGCCGCCCGGGAGCTCCCGCCGCATACGGGGGGGCCCGGCGCGCGGACGGCGGCAGAGCCTCTCTTGTTGCAGAGGGGGGGCCCCCGCGGCGCCGGGCCCGCGGAGCGCTGGCGTGCCGGGCCCGGCCCCTGCGGCAGAGACGCGAGTCGGGCCCGTTCCCCTTGTCAGTCCCGAGCGGAGTGACCCCCCCCCCTCCCCCTCAGAAATCGCGGGGGGGGGGGGGTAGGGGTGGGGTTCGCCTGTGGCCCCCTACCCCTACAGGGGGATCTTCGGCAAAAAATGGAGGAACAAAAAAAAAAACTCCCAAAGGGCCAAACATCTACACAAAAAAAAGTCCCCAGGCGATGTTTGGATTATTTTTGGGGCATGTTTTATTTCTCGTCGAAAAGCCCCCCCGTAGGGGGACAGGCCCGACTCAAGGGCAGACCCTCGAATCCGCCGGGGCTGCCGCAGTGGAGGCCGAGGGCGGCCTGCCTGGGGGGGTCCTCGCTCGGCTCCGCTCGTCGACAGCTGGGCTTGAGTCGGGCCTGTCCCTCTGCAGGGGGAATCTGCAAAAAGAGTGAAACAAGAGTCTGGGGACGATTTTTGTGACAATTTTTTTTTACCAATTCAGAATCTGTTTTGAGTTGTTTCCCTACCTAGGCTCTGCCTAGAAGGGTTCTTACCCGGTAAGCTTAAAGGGCCGGGCAGTGGGGCCCGCCCCGGGCGGTTCCCCCAGTATCCGCCCCGCGGTTCCCCCAGTTACGTCCCCTTAGCTTAGCGTTGCTTATCTCATATATTTAGCTTATTTCATCATAGCTTAGCTTAGCTTAACATCATCGTAGCTCAGGTTTACCTCAGTCGCTGAGCTTTAGCATAGCAGAGTACAGCATAGCATAGCATAGCGTAGCATCGCGCAGCATAGCTTAGCATAGCACAGCGCAGCATAGCATAGCATAGCATAGCGCAGCACAGCACAGCACAGCACAGCACAGCACAGCACAGCACAGCATAGCATAGCATAGCGCAGCATAGCATGGCATAGCATAGCATAGCATTGCATAGCAACTAATGCTGCTTTCCTAGGGGCTCCAACTTCCAGGTAGGGTCGCACTGGGGTAATTTATTATGTTTCGTCGAAAATCCCCCTGTAGGGGGACAGGCCCGACTTAACGCTGGGCGAGGGCTGCTAAAGCCGTGGCTGCTAAAACGGCCCTCCCGGAAGGAAAACACAACTTCCCGGAAGGAGGCGCGGCACGCGAAACAGTAAACGAGCTTCTTCCTTGAAAGACGAAGACAACTTCCCGGAGGTCGATTTTAGCAGCCACGGATTTAGTAGCCCTTGCCCGGCTTCCGAGCTTCGATGGTTGCTCGGGGGCTTGGCGTCGAGTTCCCCTAGTGCAGCTGGCGGCCGACTCCGTCGAGACGGCTGTTTCGATCGCGCAGTCAAGCATGCTCGGTAGTCCCGTCTGGGAGTTGCTCGTTGCGGCTGGGCTGCATCCCGCGTTGAAACCTAAGCCATGGGCCCTGGTCAAGGATCCCGTTGCTGCGTTGATCCCGGCGGCTGCCAGGATCGAGTTTCGTTCCAGGGTCCCTGGGCCGCCCTGGAGGCGAGCGGCTTCTCCTGGGGTGCCCGCCCCCAGCCTTTTGGGCGGAGAGAGCGAGGCTCGCTCGCCCAGGTAGGGCCGGCACGGGCTCGGGAAGGCGACGAGTTTTGGCGCCGATTGGATGAGCTGCTGTGCCGGCGGCCACCCGCGGCGGAGGGGGGGTCTAGTTCGGCGGGCGGCTCGGGGGGGCGGAGTCCGAGGCAGAAGCGCGGCCCGCGAGGGCGCGCCATCGGGTCTCACCGGCGCCAGAGCGGGCTGCCTCGTCGCTCCAGCGTGGCGAGCGCGGGGCTTTTTGCTTCGCGGGCATGCCGGGTGCCCAGCCAGAGCCCTGCGGCGCGAGGGCAGCGCCCCGCCCGAGGGCGGCCAGGCGGCCTCCTGTCTCAGCGGGGCTCCGATCCAAGTGCAGAGCCAGAGTGTTGTGCGCGGTCTCCTTCCTGACCCCTGGCAGATGGTGACCGGGGGACCCTGGGGCCCATAGGTGCTGAGTTCCAGGTCGAGGGCCAGTCGGCTCCTCTGGCCCTTCAATGGGGGTCTCGTGTTCTGCGGCGGCTCCGGATTCGACTTCGAGTTCCCCTCGGCCCGAGTGGCAGGGTTGAGGGGGCAGCGATTTACGGCGGTGTCGTGTTTTTTGCAGGACGGCGGTTTGGAACGGTTTGCCCAACAACCCTCCCGTTTCGGACCCGAACCGCTGTGCTCAATGTTGGGCCGTTTCGCACGAAACTTGAACATGGCATTTGTGCAGGTTTGTAGTGTATTTTGCACTACTTTTGCCGCGCCAGAGCTGTTACACCGCCGAACGCTGTCATGAGCCCGCGGTCGTTGCGGAAAATACAAGTTTGCCTAACAACCCTCCCATCGGAAGCAGCCTGCCAGGGCCGTGCGGTCCTCGCTGCGGCCATATGTTTCTCACGGGAGAGTCGCACTGTGTGCCGACCGTGCTGGCGCGCTCGGGTGCTGCAGGACCGGCGTCGCGCTGCCAGCTGTGCCAATCCCGGAGCCCACCTCTAGAGCAATAACGCCCTGCAGTTAGGAGGCCTAAGCGGCGCTCGCTTCAAGAGCGTGCCGGCGCGCGCTTCCATGCCCGACGCTCGCGAGGGTACGCTCGCTGAGTTTGAGGGGCTGGGCAATCACAAGCCAGACGCCATAGCCAAAAGGGGCGCCAGTGCAGTCCGACTGTCTGCTGAGGCGATCCCCATCCAGAGGCTGTTTGTCTTTCTGGCCCGATGCTCCTCCGAGTTTCAAGGTCAGGCCGAGGCGCGCTATGGCGACATGGAAGCCTATGACTATCGAGGGGCCAGAGCGCTGACTAGGACCTCTCCCGAGGCTCCGTCGGAGGCCGAGCTGGCGGTCCCATGGGGCAGCCTCGCGCGTGGGATCCAGGCTCCCCCTTCGGTCCAGGTCGCTCTTGCGGCCGAGGGCGGGAACGCTCTTTCGCCTGCGCCTGCGCAGCCAGGCGGTGGACAAACGTGGCCTCTTGGAGGCAGCAGCCTCTGCGAGTCTCCAGTTCTCAAGGCTCCTTCCAGCCTCTGTTGCTTGCACAACCTGTGACGAGTGTGCCACCGTCTTCGAGAGAGCGCGGTGCCTCCGATGGCCCTGCCAGGGTCAGGAGTCCCCTTTCAAGAAAGGTGCTGGCAAGAAGGATTCCGATGCGTTCGCGAGGTCGGTGCGTCCTGGCAGGGCCCATCAGCTGGGCCCCCCCATCGCTTTCCTGGTCGGGAGGCTCGTGTGCTGCTCGGGGGTCGGTTCTGGTGGACCCGAGGCGAGCAGGTCCCAGCCAGGGCCCAAAGGGGTGTCCGGGCCCCACTGTTCTCCAGATAGGCTTGCACCCTAGGAGTCCTAGCGCAAACCCTACTAATTGGTCCGTTGCCCCCCCCAAAAAATATCCTATGCCACCCTCCTCAGTTTGGGAGCCGCACCAGCCTGTGCGTGGTGGGCCCGTGCCCGCGTCCCCTCTTGGAGGCCTCTTGGGCCGTCTTGGGCCAGCTTCGAGCCAACTTCGGCCATCTTGGTGGGCTCCTGGCTCGTCTGACGCCGTCGGAAGCCGTTTTTGAGGGGGCCTCTCTGAGCCGACTTGGGGCCCTCTTGGGGTGCTCCAGGGCCGTTTTAGAGGCCATCTTGGGCGTCTTGGAGGCCTCTTGGGTCTGGCCTGGGCGAGGAGCGCGCCCGGGCCCCCGGCAGGCCTGCCAGCGTTGGAGGCCGAGGCCGGCTCCGAGGAGGCGTGGCTCCGGGGGGGTGCCCCGTCGCGGGCTCCTGGGGCGCGGTTGGAGCCCGTGTGCGGGGGCTGGCAACCTCCTTGGGAGGGGGGCACGCCCAGGGCTCTCTCTCTTCCCCTCTCTCTCCTCCGCCTCCGCCTCCGCCTCCTCCTCCTCCTCCGCCTCCGCCTCCGCCTCCGCCTCCGCCTCCGCCTCCGCCTCCGCCTCCGCCTCCGCCTCCGCCTCCGCCTCCGCCTCCGCCTCCGCCCCGCCTCCGCCTCTCCGCCTCCTCCTCCTCCGCCATGCTCCCGTAGTTGGTTGCATGACAGGTCATCCGAGGCGTCCTCCTCCTCCTCCTCCTCCTCCTCCTCCTCCTCCTCCTCCTCCTCCTCCTCTCTCTGCGTTCGCCCTTCGGGATGTCGCGTGCCCGCGTTCACTGGGAGGCCGGCGAGTCGCATTCGAGCATGGCGGTATTCTGGGCCTCCTGCTCTCCCCCTTCCGCCCCGCGCTCCCCCGCGAGAGGGCACGCCTCTCCTTGGGTCGACGTGGCAGGGCTGCCGTCGGCCGCCCACTCGGCCTCGCAGCTTCCCGCTCGAGGGGCCGTGCCCGCAGCCTCAACGTCTCCTCTCTGGGAACACCTCCATCCATCCATCCGTCCTCCACCACCCCTCCTCCACGCTCTTCCTCCTTTCCCCTCCTCCTTTTCCCCCCGCCTCTTCCTCTTTCTCCTTCTCGTGTTCTGTTTCCTCCGTTTCCTCCTCCTCCTCCTCCTCCTCCTCCTCCTTTTCTTCCAGCTGGCGGTCTGCTCTCCTTGAAGGGAGGAGGGCAGGCCTTGACACGACCCGAGAGTTGAACGGGTTGCTGGATTCTCAGGGTCGTCGGTGTTGGTGTTTTTTCTCATCGATGATGTTGGGTCAAGTGATGTGTGCCGCGTGGTCGGCATTATGTTGAATCCTTCTACTTTGAACCCTCTTCCTCTTCCTTCTCCTCCCCCCCTTTTCCTCCTCCCTGGAAGCTTCTGGAAGCTAGGCCGACGCCGCAGAATCCAGGCACTCGTGGGGCTCTCTCTTGGCCTCTGGAGGGCCCGCTCTTTCTTCAGGAGCCCCGGCCCCCCGCGAGATCCGCGGCAGGCTGCGCGCCGCGACGGCGTGGCGGTGACCGCACTGTAGCGCGAGCGTGGAGCGCTCCTTGCTTGAGCGCCGTTGGTGTCCTTAGCCAACATCGGCCCCAGCGTGGCCACTGCTCACCACCCACCAAACCACGCCCAGCCCAACCCGAAGGCTCCGATTGCAGTGGCCTCCGGCCAGTGCCGCCGATCCGGGGCGCTCCCGATTCTATGGTTGCTGAAGTGGACGATGACGACGGCAACGGACAACCAACGGTCGACGAGCGGGATAATTACGACGACGACCGACGAATGAGTTAATGACGAACCGACGACGACGACGACGACGACGACGACGACGACGACGACGACGACGACGACGACGACGACGACGACGACGACGGCGGCTCAGATTATCCCTCGATTTCCAGTGGGGGGGGGTGCGGGAAACATCGACAAAAACACATGTGGAACCCTTACCCCCCCCCCAGCCCGAAACTCGGGTCTTCGGGTTGGGTTGGGGTGGTCTGGTCTGGTAGTCAGATGCCGCCGCGGCGCCTCTCGGGCCGCGCCTGGGAGGTCGGCGGCGTCTCCCGGCAGCCGTTGCCGGCGGCCAGCTCGCTGGGTGAGTTCTCAGCGAGGAAAGAAAAAGTTGCTCCTGGATGCGCATTGTTCGTCTCTAATTCTTCGGGAGTTCTTTGACTCTTTAGGGGGCCAAGGTCCTTTCATTTCTAACTGTTCTGTCCTGGGCCTCTTCCTGGCCACTGGGGGGGCAGGAACAATCAGAAGCGAGCACACTTACAAACGAGCACGATTAGAACCGAACGACGTGTAGGCTCAGGGGGGGATGCGTCGACCCCTCAATCGCCCATTCATCGCCGATAGAGGCTTGATAGCCCACCCCGCCCAGGACAGTGCGGTTTTGCTATCGAGGGCCTATCGCCGACCCATCGCCGATTGCAGGGCGATGTTTCCTCCCCTTGAGCCAGTCCCTTTTTATCGCTCCATCATTACCTGGCTCCGCGACCGTCAGAACAGACTCAGGATGCTAAGTCGGTCGTGGGGAGGGGATCGAGACCTCCGGGGGTCCGCGGCGCCAAAGAACACGACCTCCGGGGTCTGGAAAGTTTACGCTCCGGATGCCCCCGCGCAGCTGGACTCAGCGATGGAGCAAGAGAAGCAGGACTGAAGGAGGAGGAGGAGGAGGAGGAGGAGGAGGAGGAGGAGGAGGAGGAGGACGAGGAGGGGACAACTGTGAGGATTATTAGATTGAGGCGCGGAGGAGGCAGCGGATGGGGGGCGGGCAAGGTGATGGTGACGATGAGTAGGAGGAGGAGAAGGAGGTGGAGGAGGAGACGGAGGAGGAGGAGGAGGAGGAGGAGGGAGAGTTGAGCCCGTAGCCATTTTGGCTCAGGCTGGAGGGCTGGTCCAAGCCGCGACCAGGCAGACAGGCTGCCACTTCCCGACCCTCTCGTGAGCCCCTCGAGGCGACGGGATTTCAGGCATCAACGACCTCGCGAAGGTGCCAACAACCAGGTAGTTTGGCGGCGATGTCCTATGGCGTCGACCAGATGGCAGAAGCGGCGATGTTCTCCGAGCTCGATGCCGCAACAACATTCCCGGCTCAAGAAGTCCGTCGCCGTGTGTAGGCATGCTGGTGGGCAAACAGTTTCTGGCGGTACGGGTATTCCTGATCGTGTGCATGATGGAGGGTTTCACGACGCTTGGAGCCGTTCCCCCATTGACGGCGACGGCTGCGGCCCGACCACCTCGTCTCACGCCAATCTTCGCAACTGCGTCGACTCGGCCATGGGTACATGCGAAACTGCCCGGACCATCACATTTTTTTGAGGCTGCCTCTGCGCCCCTTTCCCCCGGCCGGCGTCGGATTCTATCACAACAGCACCCCGTTCCGCAAGCGGTTTGGGGAGTGAAGCTCGGTGGGGGAGCTGGCGAGTGAAGCTCGGTACGGTGCGAGCCTCCCGTGCTCGAGTTGGTCGACACGAGGAGACGCGAGGGCCGCCGCGGATCGAGCTGCGCCAGAGAGCCGCAGAGCAACACGGTACGACCGTTTTCCGACAGGGCTGGTAGATTTCAGAGGACTCCTGTCAGGAGGGGAAAAAACACACAGACACAATTAATCGTCGACTCCCAGAAAAATATGGGAAAATATGGGAATTGGGGGGGTTTGTTTGTGTGTATTTATTTGTGTGTCCCAGGGCCCCTTCAAACATGTACGACAGTTTTCCGACAAGGCTGATCGACTTCAGAGGACTCTTGGTATCGTACGAACCGAGGCGCGTGTTCCACCAAGAGAGGGGGACGAGTCGTTCGAAAAGGGGCCATCCCCCACACTGCCGGTGCTTCCCTCGCGGAATGTCGCCAGCAGGCAGGATGTCATAGTTCAGGTGGGCACGCCCATGATGGAGCGCATCATTGTGCACATTCCCGGGGTATCCAGGTCGATTTTCGCCGCTCGAAAGGTCCAGCTGATCGCCGGCAGTCCCAAGGTCACCTCGCACGAGCTGCAACGCTCCAACTATCAATATGTCAGTGGCATTCGTACGGAAGTATTGATTTCTACATGGAATCACCGATGCAGACCACGCGCGAGATGTGGTCGAAGGGTTTTTCATGACTGCGCTGGTCGAAGTGTACCCTCAACGTTCACCCCTCCCACATCCCATCAATCAGCAGCGCGGAAAGATCTCAACAAAGTGGACGCCGTTGTCTCGTATCACTCCCAAGTCTGGCGTCGACGCAGCCCGCCGTCGAGTTCGCCAGCGCCAACCTCGCCGTGTTTAGGGGGCCACATGCGAACCCTACCCCTACCCCCCCACGATTTCTGAGGGGGGGGTGGGGTTCACTTCGCTCGGGAGCTCCCGAGCGAAGTGAACCCCACCATCCCCCTCAGAAATCGTGGGGGGGTAGGGGTAGGGTTCGCATGTGGCCCCCTAACGCAGCCCGCCGTCGAGATCGCCAGCGCCAACCTCGCTGTGTTCGGGTTCGATCCTGTGGTCATCCTCGCCGAGATCGAGCTGCGGGCGCCGGTGGCGGCGTCTGCCCAGTGTTAAGTCGGGCCTGTCCCCCTACAGGGGGATTTTCGGCGAAAAAAAAGATTCCAAAACTAGTCAAGAAATAGCCCAAAAATAGTCTGGGGACTATTTTTGGAGTATTTGTTTTTACCTTTTTGGAATATTTTTCTGGTATCTTTTTTATTTTTCGTCGAAAATCCCCCTGTAGGGGGACAGGCCCGACTTAACAGTGGAGGCATTGGCCATATCGTTGCCGTTCGGCGTGGCTCATCCCTCCCTGGCTCCGATCACTGTGGGGGCGTGGGATGCTCGGACCGTATTTCGCTATAGGTATCGCACTCGGCCCAGGAGTACTACCTCCATGGAAAAAGGTCGGGCTGGCGCTGTACGCTGGGCGGATCCCACGGGGCGGTGGCAGAGTGAAGGGACCTCCTCCCCCCTGCCCATCTTCCAGCTCAGGGGTTTCGCTTCCTGGCTCCGCCCGTCGCAGCGCCTGGCGGAGCGAGTGCGGCCGCTTGCCGAGCGATGTCGCTCGCCCAGAGGGTGGCGGGCCAGAGATCAGGGTGGTTGCGTCGATTTAAGTCGGGCGTGCCCCCCTACAGGGGGTTTTCGACGAAAAATAAAATTATCCCGACAAAGCAACCTAACAGCGATGTGTATAAGCATATCTGTAAGCATTCCCTTTAAGAGTCAGGTGATAATCCAGTTGTAGAATTCTGCTGTTCTCGCAGTCGCAGTCGCATTCGCAATGACAGTCGCAGTGGCAACGGCCTTAGGATCCAATGTAATCCTAAGGATTCCTAGGGATTCCTAAGGCATCCCTAGGCATCCTTAGGAATTCATAGGAATTCTTAGGAACTCTTAGGAATCCTTAGGAATCCTGATTCCTAGGGATTCCTAGGGATTCTTAAGGATTCCTACTGAATCCTAAGACTTCCTAAGGATTCCTGAGGATGCTTAACTATTCCTACGGATTCTTAAGGATGCCTACGGATTCCTAAGGATTCCCAGGGATTCCTAAGGATTCCTTTGGATTCCTACGGATGCCTCAGCCTGCCTCAGTTTCAGCCTCAGCCTCAGCCTGCCTCGGCTTGCCTCAGCCTCAGCCTCAGCCTGCCTCGGCCTCAGCCTCAGCCTGCCTCAGCCTCAGCCTCAGCCTGCCTCAGCCTCAGCCTGCCTCAGCCTCAGCCTCAGCCTGCCAGCCTCAGCCTCAGCCTGCCTCAGCCTCAGCCTCAGCCTGCCTCTCAGCCTCTGCCTGCCTCAGCCTCAGCCTCAGCCTCAGCCTGCCTCGGCTTGCCTCGGCCTCAGCCTCAGCCTGCAGCCTCAGCCTCAGCCTCAGCCTGCCTCAGCCTCAGCCTCAGCCTGCCTCAGCCTCAGCCTGCATCAGCCTCAGCCTCAGCCTGCCTCAGCCGCAGCCTTCCTCAGCCTCAGCCACAGCCTCAGCCTCAGCCTCAGCCTGCCTCAGCTTCAGCCTCAGCCTCAGCCTGCCTCAGCCTCAGCCTCAGCCTCAGCCTGCCTCGATCTCGGCCTCAGCCTCAGCCTGCCTCAGCCTCAGCGTCAGCCTCTCAGCCTCAGCCTGCATCAGCCTGCATCAGCCTCAGCCTCAGCCTCAGCCTCAGTCTCAGCCTGCCTCAGCCTCAGCCTGCCTCAGCCTCGGCCTCAGCCTGCCTCAGCCTGAGCCTGCCTCAGCCTCAGCCTCGGCCTGCCTCGGCGTGGCCTGCGTCAGCCTCAGCCTGCCTCGGCCTCAGCCTGCCTCGGCCTCAGCCTATCTCAGCTCGGGCATTCAAAACATGGCACAGAATTGGTGTTCTGGGAACACGAAGAACATTAAGTGGCCCACAGTTGGCTCCGGGCGATCAGAATATGGTACAGGAATGGTGTTCTGGGAACACGAAGAACACGAAGTGGCCTACAGTTGGCTCCGGGCATTCGAAATGTGGCCTGGGAATTGTGTTCTGGGAACATGAAGAACACGAAGGGGCGTACAGTTGGTTCAGGGCATTCAAAATGTTGCCTGGGAATGGTGTTCTGGGAACACGAAGAACACGAAGTGGCCAACAGTTGGCTCCGGGCATTCAAAATGTGGCCTGGGAATGGTGTTCTGGGAACACGAAGAACACGAAGGGGCGTACAGTTGGCTCCGGGCATTCAAAATGTGGCCTGGGAATGGTGTTCTGGGAAGACGAAGAGCACGAAGTGGCCTACAGTTGGCTCCGGGCATTCAAAATGTGGTCTGGGAATGGTGTTCTGGGAATGGATTCCTAAGGATTCGTAAGAACTCTTAAGGATTCCTAAGGATTCCTGGGGCTGACCCTTTTGTCCGGTTTTGTCCGGATCCCGCCCAGATCCCCCTGGGGCGTCAAGATGCTTTCTTTTGAGACCACTAGAAACCTATCAGCAAAAGTTGTTAGGTAACATACCCCAAAAAATAATCCAAACAATTGTCCTAAATTAGTCTGGGGACTATTTGTTTGGTATGTTTTGGGGCATTTTTGGGGCATTTTTGGGGTATTTTTCATTCTTCGTCGAAAATTCCCCTGTAGGGGGACAGGGCCCTGCGAGGCAGAGCGTTTTCGTTCGCTGCAGGAGGTCGGAGGCTGTCGTGTGGGCCCCGGC